AGTAATAAACCATGAAGGGATTTTTTTTCTCCTCAACTTCAGCAATAACCACCCACCTAAGAAGAACTGTGATCTTTACCAGATAAAGGTCTGGCTTTGGGTAGAAATATATTCTTTAGAATAAGAAAAAGACACTTAACTAAAAATGAATTGTGTTTCCTGGAATTAAACGGCAGTCTGCCATCATTTCCTAACACGGTATCCAGAGATCGACCGATAACTGCTGTTTTAAAGCCGATGACGATCATTTTTACATCAGTGCAGCCGATCCCAGATACCTGCTGCTTTTTTTTTGTTGGGGCATAATTTCAGACCAATATTTCTTACTCTCTTTCTCTATTTACATGAAAAAAATGGCACAATGACAGCAAATGTTAATCATGCAGCAATTTAAACACAAAGAAAACAAGTATCAACAAATCAAACGATGCAATAGCAAGTGGACGAAGCGGAAATGCACTTTATATATAGCTGCTGAATGCTTTGATGAATCAGTGAATGCCATCCATCCATCCATTACAGGGTTCCCGCGGGTCCTTAAAAAGTCTTAAAAGGCATTGAATTCTTCAAAATGAAACTAGGGCCTTAATTGGTATTAAAATGTCTTAAATCAGTCTTTCGTAGGTCTTAATTTTTAAAGCATCATAAATAGGATCATTTTTATTACCATTTATTTTTGTAATATAAATAAAACATTAAAATTGACAATTTTTTTTTATTTAAAAAAAATATCGGCTCGCCATTATTGTTTCTGTCCCGATAGCGGAACCAATAAAGCGTTGTTGCGGCCTGGACATTTGGGCGATGCGACATTAACCTTTTGTCTGAAAAATATGAGCAAGTGTAAATGTAACCAAAATTGGCTCCAGCCAAGAGTTTTCTCCATGGCTAAAACCAGGGAACATACATGAGGCACAGTGGATTTAGTGCAAGAAGTCATTCAAGCTCAGAACAATGGGAATTAAGGCCGTGGAGTCGCACATGCGAAGCACGAAACACAAAGCGTCAAAATGGCGTTACAGAAAACCAGCCGGTATTTCTCAGTTTAGTTCCACCCTTGTCTCTGCAACGCCTCCACTTATCACCAAATCAAACATAGAAAACGATACAAAGAAAAATAGCTGCAAAAAAGACTTAGCACTGGTTATGTTGTGGCTTTAAAACTGATTTGTTTTGTTCCCTGCTAAAACAAAGTTTGCGAATTCAGTTAAATAATTGTTAAAATATATCTGTCATTTGTGTGTTTTTAGCTTCCTGTATGGGAAGCTTTTCAAAATTTGAAACATCAGTGCAGTGGTTTATGTTATAATAAACCTTTGGGTTAAGTTGTCGCAAGCAGGTTTTTCTTGTGTTTCTTGTGAATTTGGTCTTAAATTTTTATTTCAAGTGGCATTAAAAAGTCTTAAAAAGTCTTGAATTTAACTTGCCTTATGCTGTAGGAACCCTGCATTATCTGACACGCTTATCCCGAGTGGGGTCGCAAGGGGTGCAGGTGCCTGTCTCCAGCAGTCAACCCTGGACAGGTCGCCAGTCCAGAAGCCAATCAACCTAACAGTCATGTTTTTGGACTGTGGGAGGAAGCCGGAGTACCCGGAGAGAACCCACCCACGCTCAGGGGGAACATTCAACCTCCATGCAGAAAGACCCTGGGAATCGAACCCAGAACCTTCTTTCTGCAAGGCAGCAGTGCTACCCACTGCTTCACTGAGCAGCCCAATTAGTGAATGCATTCAAGAAAAAAATTGAAATATCAGCCAAAAAATATATCGCTGAGCCGACTTATTGATGAACCTCTATAAAAGCATTTAAAACCTTAAGACACAATAGTTCGGCTTCAACCTTCATGTTAACCCCCAGAACTTTTCTTCTCTCTCTCTGTCTGCCATTTTTTTCTTTAAATCTCTTCTGACATCTCTGAGCCGCATCCTGCCTCCTTAACGCCTTACTGTAACTAAAAATAACCAGCTTTAAGTCCTCCCTCTTTTGTAGCTTCAGCTCTGAAGAGTGTTTTTGTATCCGTGGCATCGTATTGCTCAGGGATGACAGATTCAGAGGAAAATAATAGAACTTTTCAGTTACTGAACCAACGTTGATCAAACTAAAAAAAAAAAAAAAAAAAAAATCAGCTGATTTCTAAGAGCATCTGTGAAACTTCAGGCCCAACCCACAGCGCTGTCCTTCGTGCCGCCATCACGTCAAGAGTTTGTTCTTCCAGAGTTAGCAGAGAAATGACGCTTCGGTAATCTGAGGTTAACGTCCTCTCTCTTTTTGTGTTCCTAGAGTCCTCAGAAAGTGCTTCCTGCTAAAATCGAAGTGATTATCTTAACATGTCATCAGTTTTTATGGACTTTCCTCATTTGTTTTAATTATTATTGCACTTTATGGGCCTATTTCCCCCTTATCAGATAAATACATATGTAAAGATTAATGACTTGGAGATGCATATGGGTTGTTTTTATCTCACTAGACATGAGGTGAAGTATTTTTCCTGCCATATTTGAAATTACACTCAAAATATTTGGCTCATAGACAAATCTTTGCAAGCTTTTGCAGATGAGCAAGAAAAAACTGAGTAAGTTTGCATCAGGGAACGGAAACGGCTAAAAGGTTTATGTTTCTGCACAGAATCAGCCTCCATTTCACTGTCATTGTTTAATCAAACTCTTTAATCCCATTGGTCGTTGGTTTCCTGGAAAACTATGTTTGTTTCTTCTAAAAATATGTCTTACATGAATACAACAAATGTTGTGGATAGAAGGAAATCCAGTTATTTGCATTTGGCTTCGACCCTGGGAAAGAAATTGCTCCCTTTTTAGATAGACATGCAGACAGACCCTTGGGTTTGGCTCCAAAAAGGCTTTACAGCATAAAAAGGAAAGGATGGATGGATGGATGTAAGCCTTTGCTCTAAACACATCAACCTTTGCAAATGTTCAGCTTCCTGACTGAATTATCACTGTTAGCATTATTGCTGCGTTGCAAATTTGTCTGGTGAAAATGTGTAACACTTGTTCAAAAGCTCTCTGCCAATGTCAGGTTAATATTTTAGTTCATTTCTGGGCCAGGTGTCCACATGGGTCCAGAACATCTTTTCTGTTAGGAGGCCAAATTCCACAAGTCGACGTTCCAGGAAGCCTGATATGTTGTTTCTCCTTAAAGCAAAGTTTGAAAGTCCTTCAGAGTCGTGTGTTTTATGACTTTATGGTTCGTATGTTATCGTTTCCTCATTGCTTCATCATTACAACGCCTCCAGTGGATGTCATGCTGAAGCTGTGAAGTCACCACAGTCGGCTCTGAGCAGACGGCCTCATTGTTCACCATAGATTCTAATTCTGGCGGCTGGATGCTGAGTTGCTCCAGTGGGCCGGATGGCTTCTTTGCAGGAGCTCAGTGTTTGCGCCTGATTGTCTGCAGCCTTTCGCTGAGAGACACGTCTGTTTGGCAGCACTTGTGCGGTCATGGTCATGTAATCCAACATGAACAATGGCCGCTCAGTGGGTCAAACATGGCGTTTATTCTCTGCGGAGACGTGCTGATCACCTCAGATTACTGCCGTTACCAGACTGTGCAGAAGTCTGGGAACAGATCACTTTTCTTCATGTTGCTTCTCAGCAGTCAGGGTTTGTTTCTAGTCTATTAAGCTGGTCTTGCTCAATCTTTCTAAATGTTTGGACTTTGGCTGCCTTTTTGCTCCTTTTCAGATTATTTCCAGATACTATTTTGTATTTGTTAAGTTGGATAACTCTTCATGAAAAGGCTCCTAAACTCGAGGCCCAAGACTTAACAAGAAACTATTTCAGATTTAGTCCTTTGACAAAAAAAGGACAAAAAAAACACCTAATTTCTTTGCATTTATTTAGTTGAATCAATTTAATATCTTAAGGAAAACAGTTTGACAAACAGAGAACAAGATTTTAGCTTCAGTTGGGTAGTTTTTTAAATGTAGCATTGTCTAAAAGCCTGGGACACAATAAGAAGAAGAAAAATGTTTATTTTTAATTGTTGAACTAGAAAAGCTGTCGGAGAGCACAGACCTCCCCCAAATTGTAGGAATCCAGTATCATCACCAAAATGTATTAGTTTCCAGTCACAATATGCATCTTCAGTAAAATGCATCCACTTTTTTTTATTATTATTTATTATATCAGTTTTTGCTTTTCGTTAGTTTTAGTTAGCCATTATAACCCCGGATCGTAGCAAACAACGGTACTGAAATGAATCCTAATCCTGCCCAGATACACTTGTTTGCCATTAGTTTTTTAGATCTTTCAGCAGACGATAAAAAATGTTCAACTATTCACTAATTTGATGGTGGTAGAAGCAAGAAAATAAAAAAACACACAAGGTTCAAAGCTACAAATATACATTTGAATATCAGGAATTAATTTTATTAGGGTGCAAAATCTCACATTGATCCAGGTTACTTTATACCCCCAACTGTCCAGAACAGCTTTAAAATAAACTGCAGTGTTGATAAATCCAGGTCACATGTGGGCGTCAGAAACTCTCAGAGGTTGCACTTCCTCCTCCTGTGCTGCTATGGAAACAAAAATGATAGAAACGCGCAGAAAACAGCAGGTTTAACCAGCGCTGCCTGACTCCATCTGATCTAAATCTGTCCTAATCTGCATCACACGGACACAAGCCAGCGATACCAACAACACCGGATAACAAGGTTTGATACTTTCTCCAAATTCCTCATGACGTCCATCAACTCATCATTAATCATTACTGAGGAAGTTTACATAATCCTTCACTCATATCTCACAATATATCTCTGAAATATGTTTGTTTTTCTCTATAGGATATTTCTCTGTCTTGATCTGTAGGCTTTTTCAATTCTCCCTCATGATAGCGCTACTTCTAGCCTTGTCTGTCAGTTTCAGTTTCTTAAAAATTTGAAATTACTTCGCATGTAAATATAAATGAGTTCCCAGTGAGACAATAGCTCATAAATAAGAGGGAATTCCGAATCATTCAGGTGTTTCTTTCCTTTGCAGCTAAAGATCTCCTTCAACGAGTCCAGCCTTCACAGCACCTACGAGTACCCGTCAGAGAGTAGCACGTGGGACAGCGGGGAGGAAGACGAGGAGGAAAAACAGGAAGCGAAGCCGGCGGACGAGCAGCCCAGCATGGTGGGACGTTTCCACATCCCCCGCCCCAGCCTGATCGGCTCGCCGGTCCACGCAGAAAACGGCAACGGTGAGAATCCAGAAACGTCCGTTCCCAGTTCTGTCTCGACCTTTGACCTCGGTTGACTCGCTATAAATCACGACCAAAGAAGCAGGAGGTTTGATGCAGAACTTTAGCGAACACGCACAGGTGGGTGGGGCTTTAAGTGGGTGCAACAAAATGCAGGAAAAACCTGGAGAAGCTGAACTAAATCTTGTTCCTGTGATCTTAAGCTGCATCCCTGATCCAGTTAAACTGAGGGAAATGAGTGGCTCATTACCAGGCTGCAGAAATCTATAACAACTTAATAAGGTCGTTTAGATCAGGCATCCCCAACGTCGGTCCTCGAGGCCCGCTGTCCTGCAGGTTTTAGAGGTTTCCTTGCTCCAGCACAGCTGATTTTAATTGAAAGCTGATTAACAGGCTTTTGGTCTACTGCAATCATTATAATCAGCTGTGCTAAAGCAGGGAAACCTCTAGAACCTGCAGGACAGCGGGCCTCGAGGACCGACGTTGGGGACGCCTGGTTTAGATGACTGCTTTAAATCCAAGTTTATCCATGTTTTACAACGACCCAGTCAAAGTCAAGACTTAAAGGCACACTATGCAACATTTTTCAGTTAATTAATGTGTTCCATAACGTTTTGGATGATTAAATGAGTCATTTCAGGTTGAACAAAGGTATTCTCGGCCGCCCTGGTGGTCTGTGGGGGAAATACTGCACTTGCAATTGCAGGAGCACCGACCCGCACCCACAGGCTCAGAAGTCTCGTGAGAGTCGGTCTTGCTTTACGGCCGAGAACTGCTACACCCCCCAGTTAAAAGCATTCTCGTTGCTAGCACAGTGGCGATCTTTGTGCAGTTATGCTACGTTCACGCAGCAAAAGCAGCAAAATAGTGTCTGCTGCTTCATTTTTGCTGCTTGAACCAGTTAGTTCTGACGCGCGGCTGAAGCAGCTTTGCTGCTCTGGCTGCGCGGTGCAAAAGTGTGTCTGACGCGCGTTGGGCGGAGCTTCACTATCCTTTCTCTGCCTTGCAGCTATATTTGCTGTGATCAGTGGGAATAAAGTAGTTTTAATATGTGTTTAAATGAGAAAATACACCTGAAAACGTAATCAGTGCCGTCAGTTCATTCAGATTATTATCCTGCCTTCAATATTTTTTCTGTCGGAGCCGCTCAGACCCCCACATACCAGCGGTGCGCCGACAGAAGGAACCCCTTCAGCAGCAGCCTCTGGCCAGGTCACCTCCTCGCGGTTCACCGCGGCAGCTGGTAGGTGTTTTTGATCTAAATAATCCAAACTGCATATTCTGCCGGCAGATTTCTGCATTTTAAGTTAATTTAGGCGTCAATAAACTGTTTAAGAGGAGAGATCATAGCCTCTGATCATCAGCGCTGTGTCTCTCTCCCTGCTTCAGCTGCTCAGACGCGCTGGCCCTGCTGCTCAAAACGCGCCGCGGGACCTTTTGCTGTGCCTTGACGTTACGTTGCATGTAAACTAGCTGCTTCTGTCGCGCCAGCTGCGGTGTGAACGCAGCATTAGTCATTCGTTGCGTTCGCCTGTCTGCTAAGCTCAAAACAACCGCGCCTGGCTTGACGGAGAAACCAGGAGAACAGCTGTACATATTTACGACAGTGCACTTTTACTTTCGCCCTCTGGGGGGAGCCTCGCTGGAAAATCAACACCGGTTGCATAGTGTACCTTTAATTCCTACTAAGAATCTGTCGCAAGAAATGGATGTTTAAAGACGCCGTCTCTTGATTCTGATTAAAAGAGATTTTTTTAAACTTTTACAACAAAATGTTAAATATCGGGCATGAAATACTTTTTGTTGGCCCATCACAAAAATTCCTATAAAAACACATAAAAGTCTTTAATCATAACCTCTAAAACCAGAGGTCATCAACAGGGGGTCCGTGACCCCTAGGGAGCCCACGGAGGTACTGCATTGGGGTTGCAAAAGTTTTGGTTAATTGATTACAGTAATTTTTTTCTATATTTCCCCTGCATTTTTTTCCACTAATTGAAATGTCTTTAAATCCACATTAACATGAATTCAACACACTGTAGTAAACAGATAAATGGAGGCAGAAGATGTCTTTCAGTCATCAATGAACACATTCAGTGACACACAGGAGCTCTTTCAAGCTGGGAACCGTTTCATTCAGAACACCTGACCCATCAACCAGGAATCAGAATCAGAAATACTTTATTACATATGGAGTAATGAAACTAAAGTAATTTCTCCCTGGGATTATTAGAGTGACTATAGGACCAGTTGGATATAACATAATTTCATATAGTATATATAATTAGGGGATCCCCGCTCCATCTCGCCATCAGTTTGGCGTCCTTGGCCTGGAAAATGTGGAGGACCCCTGTCTTAAACCATCCATGACTACATGAGACAGCAGTGAGGTGTGTGGAATCGCTTCTGTTCGAAAAGAAGTAGCCCATTATTGTGCCACACTTCTGAAATTCTAGTGTTTAAACGGCTGGAGGAAAATGTACAACAGCAGGAATAAAAATAAACGCACAGTTATCAAATTAGACCAATGAAATATGCAAATGAGTGGGATGAAATGAAAAATGTACAAAAGGAACATGCAAAAAAATTTCATGAGAAACCGCAACAAACCAGGAGCTCCCATTGATAGCAGATAGAGAAACAACTTATTGATGCTGTGGAGAGCAGAGATGGTTATAAAGTGTAACAGCTTTCGGAAGGAAGGATGTGAGATTACGCTCCTTACTGGACCTACGGTACAGATGCATTTATTGAAAGGAGCTCTGAAGTTTTTCTGATTCCCTCCACCTGCACTGATTCCAGGGGGTTCCCTAGGATGGAGCTGGCCTTTATCTCAGCTATTAACTGTACATCTAAAGAGTATCAGTATTCCCTTATTGAAGTGGTGATAGGAAAGCTTGAAGCTAAGATTTTTAAAGTGGCTTAGACTGCATCTCTATGAGGGAAAATGTTTTGGTTTGGTAAAAAGGGCTGTTTTTGCAGACAAAGTGGAGGGATTATGAAATAAATCTAAAATATATTTACCTTAAGTTGACAGGAGTGTGCAAAGAATACCTACAATCTTTATACTTTTATATACAAGTTTATTTTTATGCAGAAAGGTTTAAAGATATTCAGCAAAAACATCCAATATTCAAACCTGAGGTTGGTTATTAGTGTGCTGCCAGTGACCCCTACTGGACAAACCGTTCACTGCAGTTCATTTTATTTGAACAAAGTTTTAATGTTTTTTATTTTTTTATTATTATTTTTTTTTTTTTACATTATTGTGTAAATCTAAAATTACTAAGAAATAAATATTGTGCCTTATAGGATAAGTTGTAATATGCTGTGTTTTTTTTTATAATTATTTGCAGACCTTTCTAGCTACATTCCCAAACACTCTGTGGACTTCAACGCCTGGCAGGAAAACAAACAAGAAGACAAAGTTTACCAGGAAGAACCCACATCGCCGCAGATCTCAGAGGAGGTCATGGTAAGGGGAACAACATGGTAACCAAAACCATGGTAACTGTTTGGGTTTGGGATATTTTTCAGCCTGTTTTGTTTTGTTGATTGTTGGTTGCGTTGTTCTAAAAATGTACACTCAATGTCACAACGTATCTGGTACAATTCAATGGGAGAAAAAACATGACTTGAAGTAAAGATAGGATGCAGACTGGTTAGGGCGGCTCTTAAATTGCAACAAAAAAGGAACTGACAGACCTTTAAATGAGTATTTGATGTGCTAAACTTAGTAGGTGATAAAATGGGAGCCTTTTCTTCCAGACAGAACATGCAGGTTAATTCAAAATCACACAAAACCTTTTACATCAATATGTTGGGATTTAAACCTAAGATGAACTTCCAACCAAAAAACAACTTCAGACATCACAGAATAAACACCATTCTTCCAGTCATGCATGGTGGTGGCAGCATCATTCCATGGGGCTGCTTTTCTTTAGAGGCAACAGATGTTTCTCAAATATACAAACATACAAGTAATGTACAAAATATATAAATCCAAACATACAAACCTAAAATCTCTGGATGTCTCTTTTAGTTTTATTACAAGCCGTTTCTGGACAAAAAGACTTTTACGCAGAAAAGTTTGACATCATTTGAAAACCAATTTTTTTGTTTTCCATCCAGCTGACGCCAGCAGACAGCTCCTCCCTGTCCGACTACAGCAGCGAGCCGGCTCTCTACTTCTGATCGCTGCGGACGGCGGCAGCATCTCCTGAAAATCCGGCGGGGATTTCGCCACACGTCCAGGCCCGACTGCAAGCACACGCTGCTCCGACCCCGCTGTTTTCCTGCCATCGGAGAAGTTTCCAACCTCTTTAGGAGGAAGCAACAAATCGGAATAAAGAAAGAAAGAAGCAGCTGGCCTGTGTTTCCCCCCTTTGATTGCGGACAGTTGATCTGTCCCATACTCTCACTCATCGGTGCCGGAAGTCAGTGTTAGGATTTTCCTTTCCTTTCTGTACAGATTATAAATAGCAGACATACAAACTGAAAAACTACTAAAAATGAAGGTATAAGGGTGCCACGTTTAAATTTTTTTCTTTGGTCATTTTTTTTTTTTGTACGTGCATGTTTGTTTTCATGTTTACTGTAAAGCTTCTCTTCGCCTTTCTTTTAGTTGGAGGTCTCTTTGCCGTATTAAATTTGCTGGATGTTTCTCAGAGGTGTTTTAAAACCTCCTTTCTTTTGTTTGAAAGGAGTCGATCAAGACGCCCGTCAATCAGTAGCAGCTTTTATTCCGTATTGAACGCTCGGGAAATAAAAGTGACCTTCGCCAATAATAGTAATAAAAATAACGTCTGTATGTCCCTAAACTGAATCATCGCTTTGCAGAATGTGTTCATGTGAGCTGTAAAGACAAATGTTCCGATCTGACGGCTTTTTTCCGACTTCTGGTCTGTGCGATCCGTGTTTGCGTGTGTGAAGTAAATCAGGAGAAGCAGGAAAAGCTTCTTACTGGATTATTTTCCTTCATTTTTTTTTTTTTTTTCTCCTGTCAGACCTCAAGTACTTTGACATTCCACAGAGAGAGCAGCCATTTTATTTAAGGCTTCTGTGTTGAATGTTATATTAGTGGGAATTAGGCATGGGTTGGATTCAGATTATTGCATCATATTTGCACAATTTAAAGCTATATCATCATAAGAGCAGGTAAAAAGAGAGTGAATAAATAATGGGACCGAGCATAGAACCCTGAGGAACCCCACATCTAAAGATCTCACGTCGTTTCTTCTCTTTTTCTGGCATCTCATCTACATATTTATTTTGGGATTTGCTTAAACAAGATGAATGAAAATGATTAAACTCTTTATTTAATGCAGATTTTCTATAACTGATACGATTAAGGAAAATTGGCTGTTTCTCTAGTTTATGATCGAGGTATCCCAACAATATTGCGACGTAAACTGCGGTAACCAGCCCATGCCTAGTGGGAAAGTATGCCGTGAGAAAATGGGCTTGTGATCGTTTATATATATTTTCTTTTCTACCGATTTGTTTTTATACAAAGGAAAGTTTTCAGATGATTTTATTTTTCTTGAACTCATAATGCCAACTGATTCAAATGTTGCCGTTCTGGCCTCGCACTCGTCCGTCCACCAGTGTTTCCAGACTCAAAAGATCCACGTAACGCTGGTCATTTTCTCCACAATCATCTGGAACCTTTTCAGTCCTTGAAGCTGGATTTCTGTTGTTTTCAGTTAAAGTCCTGGAGTCTTCAATGTTGCACTGTCATGCTTTTTTTTTTTTTTAAGCTGCATTTTGCACCTGATAATTAATGAAGACAGGAAATGGAGGAAATGTGCAGAAGGAGAAGCCAACCCAAAGGGTTCGGTTTGAGGTTGAACCACTAAACCTGTAGGAAACGGAGGCGTAATTATGGACTAGAAACAAGCAGAAGAACATTGAAAGTAAAACTCTCCAGCGGAACGAAATGAATGCACTGCCGATTATCGCCATGTTGGCTTCTGTCTTTAAATGTTTGCCGCAGCCTTGTATTAAAGTCTCATGATTGTCGGCCTCGTCACTGTGACCATACGTCCGCCGCTCCACAGCAGACATGAAGCAGCCTTTAAAATCAACTAAAAGTGTTTAGATCTTTTAGTTGATTTGGATGTTTTGTCTCCATCTTTTTCTGGTACAAACCGGAGCCATGTTTGGCCATAATAAACCAAACCGGGGAGGATTTTTATTTTTTTCAGTTTGACTATTAAGAATATTCAAAATGTAATAAAGCATCACTGGTTGGAGGACCTCAAATAAATAAAAGCCAGCTGAGGGGTTTCCTTGTTTGATTGGAGGTTATGTTCTGAAGGGGTCAGCTGATCCAAATGGGGATCAGAACCCCCCCCCAACCCACAATAACAGTTTTATGTTGGATTTAAGCTGTCCACTTATCACTGTAGGTCATGAAAATAACAAAGTAAAGGGACAAAGTTTTTCTTGAGTAGGAAATTGGAGGTTGGATGGTGTTAAAATCTGACCCAAATTATATTTTCTCTGCAGTTTGCAAACGTTTAACATTTCAAGTGATTTAGAAGCCGATTTATTGGAACTATATTCAGATTAGCTTGATTTAAAGGTGCAGTAGATCTTTTCTGATGCATTTTTTACCATGTGGCTTAAAGATCTCCCCAGAGCCACTTAGGAAGCAGTGAAATAGGTCTGGAAGTGAAACTAAAATAACTGATCCCCGCTACAGAGAAATCAATGAATAATAACTAATAATAAACAATAAAAGGATGTAAAGTTGCTGGATTCTTTAATTTTCATTTGATATGTTGAGCAAAACTCTTCTTTGTTTTGTTTTACTTTGCCAGACTTCCTTTTAGTCTCTTTAAAGCAGCTTTGCTGTGTTGCTCTCCGGGTTTTCTTCCAAAGTTTCTTTTTGCTTGTTTTTTGCCATTTGTCTTCTCTTCAGTCTTTGAACCTCCATGTTTGGTTTGGAGAGAAAATTACAAACTTGTCTACTGGATTGAGCTGAAGGCTCATCAGGATGACTTCTAGATGCAACCCTTATTATTGGTTGGGGACTTCAGGGAGGAACCAAAATAATATATATATATATATATTTTTTTTTTACAGTGTCCTGTCTGGCAATGTGGCAATAAGAATAATTGTCTTGATGCCAAAAAGAGCCCAACAGATTTTACTTTCACAAGTGTAGCCATATGGCAATTGCCTTACTGCTACACTTGTTTCATGCACATAAATTGCTTTATTATAATTATGCAGGGAGTTTTACAGTTTATATGGACACTGCAATGTAAATAGAGCAGAAAAACAGAAGAAGAAAAGGAAAAAAGAAAGAAAGAAGAGATAGAAAGGAGATAAAAGAATTTAGAAGATTTGGGGTTCCTGACCTGCAGCTTTTCTCAAACTCCTGAATCTCTCCAGTTTAATTGAACAGTTTGACAAACTGAAAAAATTTATAATTTAGCCCCCAAATTGTGTTTTTCTAAAACTGATCATATAATAAACTTGCCTAATGTGATGAGCACATGAAGAGCAAAGTGCCAGGTACAACAGCTGGACTGAAAATGTTGAAAAAGTTCAATAGAAAAAAAAAATGTCCAGAAGATTTACTGATCAATAACTCTTTAAAATACAAATAAAACAGAAAAATCTGTAGAGGTTTAAGATCTTTTCCAATTTGTAGGAGCCAATTATTTTTTGTTAATGATTAAAAATGTTTTTTGTTTTTGTGCATAATCTAGATATTTTATTTTACTTTATTGTTTATCTGTTTTGAGATTATGTTTTTTGGTTAATTAGTCATGTTCCTTTATTTTTTGGTCAGTTATGATTAATTTAGGTTAATTATTTTTTATAAATAGGGCAGTCAATCGTAGGACCAGCATGCATCTGGGTGGGCGTATGTCTTTTTTTTTTACTAATGTGGCCCAGCTTTGATGACACAAACATACACTTGGCTGCCTATTTATAAAAAATAATCAACCTAAATTAATCATAACTAACCAAAAAAGAAAGGAACATGACTAAATAAAAAAAAAAATATAATCTCTAAACAGATAAAGTAAAATAAACTTAGCTAGATTATGCATTAAAACAAAAAACTTTTAATCATTAACAAAAAATAATTGGATCCTACACATTTCTATAAAAATTTTTCAACCAGAAAATTATATAGATTATAGTTATGAAGAGCAGATTTTCATACGACATCAAAATGTAACAAGAAATAACAAGTAATAACTTTTAAGGAACCAATTAAGTGGTTGTTTTGAGATTTTCTCTGGGTAACAGGGTAAAAGGGGCCTGGATACAAATATGCATTTCAGATATAAAACATATTTGAAAGAAAAGTTTATTTTCGTCATTTTCTATTTAATCATTACACGATATTCCTAATCTGAGCTGGATTTTTTTTTTTGCCGTATGGCAGTAAATTAGTATTTTTTTTAAACACATTTAATTTATTTTATTAATTTATTTAAAGGGACAGTGTACATTAAAAAGCATTCCTGCAAATGCACCAGAATTAGCCAAAAGGCTATTTTTCATCTGTTGTCCCTGGACAGATCTTAAAATTTTCTACCTAAAAAAACACAACAGTAAGCATTTTTCAATGAAAAATACTAAAATAAATAAAAACAGCTATAACTCTTCAAAACTGATTTAAAAATACAGAATAAGTATTTGTTTGAGGAACCACTACTAAAAACGGCTTAATGAATTTCCCCTCAATTAAAAAAAAATCCTAATTCACATTTTCATCTTTAGTTAATCCAAGTTTAGAATCAGACGATTTCTGCATGAAATCACCGAGAAAATCCACTAAATGTGCTTTTAACTAAATCAAAAAAGTGCAAATTCTAAAATTAAATGATAAATCTTCTGCAGTTTGTTGCGTTAGATTTTATTTGGGGGTATCATAGTTAAGTGGGGTGAATATTATTTCACCCCACTGCGTCAGACCAATTCTAGTTCTGAAGCGACAACAGAAACGTAGAGCTTGAGTTAATAATTTGATTTCTGAGCTTTTAGAGTTTGTTCTCTGAGCTGCTGTGGAGTCGTGGCCCGTCTGACGATCCATCGAAATGATTGATGGTCCTGGATGACACCAGCAGAAAAAAACCAAACATGTTGGTTCTGATTCAGCTGTGTACGTCTCCTCCCGTCACACAGGGAGCAGTGAGACTCTGTGATAGAAGCTCCATCCATCCGTTCATCACCCTCCTGTCTGTAAACCTCCATTTGCTTGATGTCAACTTACTGTCTACAATCTGATGGGGGGGGCAAGGGGTTAAAAAAAACAAAGATGTCATACTTGTACAAAAACAGAGCTGAATAAATAGACGACTTGAACAAAAGAAGATGTTAACGAGTCTGTTTTGTCTGAAAGAGTCACTGGAGATATACAGTTAAAAATCAAACATTTATTGCTTTACAGAAAAGAAAAAAAAATACCCAATGGAACAGATCAGTGGGTTAAAAAGTGCAGAATGAGAGGATTGTGGTCCAACAGAGTTCAGTGTGGTTTCTGTGGCTTCAATGGTCCTTTTTCCGAGGCCCTGTGGCCTTGCTGAGGTTTCCTGCTTCTTGTTTCAGGACGCTGAGTAGGGACTGGGAACTCTCCAGGATCTGAAGCACAAAAAAATCAAAGTGAGAAACTTTGTTCTGGTACAAAAGTATCAGCTCATTTTGATTAGTAGCTGCATCTAAATAAATCTGAATGTAAATCAATAATTTCACATTTAAGATTGAATTCAAAACTTTATAACGTGAATGGAATGATTTAAATGGTTTTGATGTAATCTAACGGCAAAATCAAAAGCAAGCTGATATTATTATGAAATTGGAAGTACTATGAAGGACAGAAATAATACAGATATTTCTGTTCGGGAGAAGACAGCTGACTTGGTTTGATATCCAGCAGAAAAAGAAGTTGGGTATCTACAGAGGGCTTTATCCAAGAATAGTAGAAAGTTGAGTGGAAGGAAAAACGATCAAAAACAGATTTATTTAGATTTATACTTCATAATATTTTCATGGTTATTATTCAAGTATTTTAACAGATTGTGTTGTATTAGGTCCTTTTAATTTCACATCTTGTGTTTGGGACTTTATTGTTTAATATGTTAAAAGGCATTTTATATTAAATCTTTAAATCTTTAAATTTAATTGGGAAGCATTTATTCTCTTAAATGCTAGGGATGGAACGGTTTATGAAAACCGTCCGAACCGTTCGGTTCGACTGTCTCGGTTCGGTTTGCGTGTGTTGCGTTCGGTTCATGTGCTGCTCCTTTTTCTCATAGGCGAAGCGTTTACACTCCAGAGCAGCAGGTGGCGCTACTGCAACCAAAGCCAACCACCAGTAGTAAACAAGAAGAAGAAGCGAAGCAGCGTAGCCGGGTGTAGCAGGGAAAAAAATCTGTTGTTGTGGAGAATTGTGTGGGTATGGCGAGTGGGAAAGAACAGGAGTTGGAAGACGCGCCAGCAGCACTTTCTAGGTCTGCTGTATGGGACCGCTTTGCATTTAGAGTGACCTACGATGACGGCGGAAAGAAAGTTGTGGATAAAAGTGCAACAGTGTGCAATCAACATATACCGAACCGAAAACCGTGACCATGAAACCGTGAACCGAGGATCTTGTAAACCGTTCCACCCCTATTAAATAGGTATCTTTAACCTCAGTTTCATCTTGAAATGAAAAATAATCCAGCCACCAACTTTATAGCCTTTCAGGGAAACTGCTCTTAAGCCTCTGAATGGAAAGTAAAGCGGAAAGAAAAACTGTGGTAGAAAAATGGTTATGATATGAAGAGCCATGTCCCCTGTTGTAGACAGTGTTTTAATAAAGTCTAAGGTTAGAGAGGCTGTCTATTAGAAAATAAAATTTGTGATAGTTTTCAACATAATATACAAGTTTAATTGACCCATTCAGAGATATCAAAACACTGGGGACACCTGCTGAGCTAAAGGAGCCAACTACTTCCATGTTTTTTGGGACTGTCAGGTAATAAAACCGTATTGGGAAGCATTCCACAAACATATTGAAAATATATTTAATGTAAGCATTCCATTCAAAAGTGAAACATTATATCTGGGCAATTTACAATTGGTCACATGGACTAATAAAGACAAAAAAAACTGCTGACTACACCACTGGCAACCAGTAAGAAGGCTAAACAGGAAACGGCTGAAACCAGATCCACCCACTATTGATGAATGGATTGAAATTGTTTACCAGGTTTATGTTATGGAAAGAATCTCTTTTTCCCTCCAAGTTGAAAAAGAAACATTTTATAAGATCTGGACAAAATAGACAGAGTATGTAAAACCAATTAGATCTGACTTAATTAGATTGTTCTTGTGAAATATGTGTCTTAGCCTCTTATTTCTTTGTGTTTTCTTTGTTAGAGGTGCTAAAATCTCAATTATAGTTTCATTCTGTTCATTTTTGTTATTGTTTACAACTAAATTGGTAATATTCTGTAAAAATACCAGAAAGGCAGCATGAAAAAAATCACTTGGACTTTCTGCTTATATCCTCAGATACGATCCTTAATGGGTAAAGCTGTAATTACTGAAAACCTGAAAACTTTCTAAATGAAAAAAATACTTCCTAGTTCCTTCTGCTGACAACTTTGGCTGAGATGCTGAGCTCATTTTAGAAGGACCGGAAATAAGCCCACACTGATAAGGTACCAACTACTGCTGATTGGCTAGCTAACTGGGTAGATTAAACCCCATAGTGAATCTGAGCTGATATCACCATTACACCAGGGATTTACTGACTGGTCTCCTCCAAGAAAGAAATCCTTAAAGGTGTAGAGGAGAATTTTCCCACCCTCTCCACTTAAAAAAAAATATAAAAAATGCACATGTAAAACCCTGTACCCGCTCCAGAGAGGGAACTACGGAAGAGGATTAGGGCCACTGGAAAAAAAAAACTGATTTTTTTTTATTTAATTTCAGTATAGTATGGGAAAAAGTCAGAATTCTGACTTTTTTCTCAGAATTCTGACTTTTTTCTCAGAATTCTGACTTTTTTTTATTGTCAAAATTCAGTCAGAATTCTGAGATTAAAGTCAGAATTCTGAGATTAAAGTCAGAATTCTGAGATTAAAGTCAGAATTCTGACTTTAATCTCAGAATTCTGACTTTTTTCCCATACTATACTGAAATAAAATTAAAAAAATCAGTTAACTTTTTATTTTTTCCCAGTGGCCCTAATCCTCTTCCGTAGGGAACGCCTATAAAACGCATGTGAGAGCGTGCACAAGCCCATTTCTCCTCGTGCACGCTCTGTTTAAAAGTTGCTGTTTGCATCACTTAAAAAAGCTTAATTCTCCACTATGTCAGAGTCACCTTTACGTAAACATATCACCAGAATGATTGACAATTAAGAAGACCACTTATTTAGATGATCCGACTGGAAAAAGAACATCCTCCACTGTACCTTTAAGTAGAAAGTGTAACGGAGGATCCTGACCTCCTTGATGTTTTCCCAGACAGGGCGACTCAGGAGTTTGTGTTTTCATTCATTAGCTTGAGGACAAAGGGAGTTTAACAATAACAATAAGGATATGCCAGGATTGTACCAGTTTAATTAGATCTGCTCAACTTACTACAAACACGTTAGGCAGTTACCGGTATATCTGTTTTATTTCTTTTTATATTTCTATTGCTCGCTGTAAAAATCTTACTGTTATGTTTTTAGGTGGACAATTTTAAGATCTGTCCAGGGTTAGGGCTAATCCTGCTGCATTTGCATCAGTGCTAATTAATGTACATTGTCCCTATAAAATAAATAAAGAAAATGAAATTTTTTGTGTCAAATTTTCCAGTCAAGACATTTATGCAGGAAAACAGGCAGTTAAAAGCCCTAAAAACCCAGTGATGATGTTTGATTCTCCCCCAGCTATCCCTTTTTCTCTAGTTTAACTCTTTACTTAGCTTAGCTAAACAAAAACAAACAAAAACGCTCTGCATTTCAGATGCACATTGTTTACACCCTGGACCGCATCATCAAATGGGAGGAGCTTTGGCCGCGTGAAAAAACTCAGCAAATTAAAATAGTTATTGCTTCTTTAGAGCAGGTTTGTGCATTTTAAATGGTCATTTGTAAAAAGGAAAATAAATAAAAAGAACTCACATGCCGCTGTTGTTTTAGAGATATTAAAGATTAATTTTTAGGTCACCCAGAGGTCAACTACCCCCCCATTAAGCTCCAAATTGAATCAAAATGATCTAGCTTACTTTTTCAGTGCTATTTGTGCAGATAAAACTATCGTTTTAAGATAATATTATTTTTAATCATGGCCCATGACGTGGCCGATAGTGCTGCGCTCGTTTCCTGATAAAAAGCATAATGCATAACATTAAATGTTATTCCTGTGCTGGTATTGAATATAACAGTGGGCACATTTACCTTATTTAGTGGCTGGAATAATTGTTTAATATTTAGTAAATCACCAGCCGCCCAGATCCTCTGCTTTGGACATGTTGTTACCCCTGGCAACCCCGTAGCATTTCTGGTCAAGGTCCTGATGAGTTTCGGCATATCACTATAAAAACCTAACATCACGGACTAATGCTACATTTTTCTCTATGAACAACTTTTGAATCACCTTGGGGAGACCTAACCTGACTCTGCCAGATGGGTTTGCTCCGCATATCCATCTGGGAACCTTGAAGTAATTTTGGGAAGGGGCGAAAATACTGGTTAGCTGATTGGCCTATGTTAGTGATAGACGGGCCAAATAAACCAATCAGATCAACCAAGCATATGACGTACTAACAGAGCGACGACGAAAACACAACCACAAGCCAGGCTACTCTTGCCGAAACCAGTCGGGAGAAGAGCAAAAACATCTTTTCCTCTGAGAAAAGCCTCCAGAGCAGTGTTTTGCTCTTCTTTCAGTGAAGAAATACTCTGTAATTCCGATAAAACTTGCTGGATAGCCACGCTAACGCTAGTTTCATCGGCTGAAGCCGCCATGTTCTTTAGACTGAACTGTCGCGCTTCTCGTTGCGTCACACGTCAATCCGCCTCAAAGCCAACGCTGATTGGACGTTCGTTTGGTGAACGGCTCCAAATTTTCTTTAACGGAGAGTCTTCAGAATGATCTGCGAGTGAAACCTTGAAAGCTCGCGAGATCAGGATGGTCTCACGAGGCTGGGGGAGACCACCATTTTTCGGAAAAGCCCCAAAAGCTCTGAAAAAAAAAAAAAAAGATCCACTTTGGTTCATCCAGAAGCAGCTCTGATTCGGCTGGAGTTCTTTGTAAATTTACCCCCTCAGAAGCCAGAAGTGAGTCAGTGACAGACCAGGCTCTGTGCTGGAGGTGAGTGAGGACGAGCAGTGTTTCTAGGATTAAAGTAAAACAGCTTTTTTTAAAGCCACCTAAATACCACTTGACAGCACTTCTTATTTTTCTTTGTATTCCATTTTAAGTGAAAAAAGGCTTAGCCTACAATCTTTAGGAATCAATAGAAGAATCAATTCAGAATTGGAAAATCCATCTTTTTAACAAAGCACAGCTGCAATACCAACAATAAAGCCTGTTGTGGTGCTGATGTAATATCAAAGGCAGCGGGTTTGGAGATGCAGACCTTTGTGTATGCCGCCTCGGTCTCTGCGATGGTACGGTCCAAGTTGGTCCTGGTGATCAGTCTTTGGGCCAGGCTTTCATTCACCTTGCTCAGCTTCTCAGAGAGGACCCGGATGTCACGCTGGAGTCGCTCCTTCTCATCTTCCTCCAGCTTAATCTGGCGGTTCAGCTCGTCCCGCTTCGAGCACAAGTCCTCAATACCTGTTGTTATGGAAACCAATGTCTTATTGACAGAACAGTTGGAAGGCATCTTCTGTAAGTTTCCATAAATTTCACAAACTGGCTTAAACCGGTCTTCCAATGTTAGATAGCACCGTTTTGACAAAATATATACAAAAACTTTGTCAGTTAATATATATATATATATATATATATATATATATATATATATATATATATATATATATATATATATATATATATATATATATATATATATATATATATATATATATATATATATATATATATATATATATGTATGTATGTATAATCAAGGGTTCCTACTCTGAATTAGTTCTGCAACTAACAAATATCTTGCAAATCAATCAATTAGTTGATTATTGTTTAGATTAATCGATTAATAATCGGATAGCAAAAGGTTCCTTAAAGAAGACTTTTTGCAAAATTAAACTAGGAGAAACTAAAACATTTCTGTTCTGGATAGAGCACATCGACAGAAGAAATGTATTTTTATCTTAAATGCAACGAGTCAACACATTTCTCCTCACAATTTTGATACAATTATTGCTCTAAGTAACTTGCTCTGTCAACTAAAGGCATGTTTTAGGGTCTCTACACTCCAGTTAATGATTAATCAATTACTAAATTATTGGACAATTATTTCTATAATTGATTAATCCCATTCATTTTTCAGCCATATTATGCTAATTGACTTCATAACCATTTTGAAAACAGCCATGTTGAATAATTACCTCAAACGATGGTTAATCCATGTTCCCCTCATATTAAGGATGCTTTGATACCATGTAATAGTTGGACTGTAAACTACACCTAATGCATTTTTTGGTGGGGGGGACAAATCCTGTGATAGAGGTAGTAGGAGAATCAAACAGAAAATCCCTACCTATGCATCTAGTCCATCATAATTAAGGTTTAGATGCAGAGGTGAGGATTTCCACTTTTCCCTCTTCATTGAATGCATCATTGGTAACCCCTCCCTCCATTTTTACTTTAATACAATTTTCATCTAACATCTTGTAGTTTCACCCCTGTAGCAAGAAGGTTATGGGTTTGATTCTCAGTCTGGGGTCTTTCTGCATGGTGTTTGCATGTTCTCCCTGAGCATGCGTGGGTTCTCTCCGGGTACTCCAGCTTCCTTCCACGGTCTAAAAACATGACTGTTAGGTTAATTAGCTTCCCTAAATTCTCCTTAGTGTGTGTGAATGGTTGTTTGTTCTGTTTGTCTCTGTGTTGCCCTGTGATGGCGACCTTTCCAGGGTGGACCCGCCTCTCAGCTGTAGACAGTTGGAGATAGACACCAGCACCCCTCACGACCCCAACTGGGATAAACTTGATGGAAAAAATGGATATTGTACTTTCCTATTTTTTGCAGTTAACTACAAAAAAATTAATCTCCAAGAGCATCCTTAATATGTAGGTAACTACAAAAAAAAGGAAAGTAAAAAATGTTTGATGAAAATTGTATATAGTAAAAAAGGAGGAATAGGTTACCAATGATGCATTTAAGTAAGAGGGAAAATTTTGATTTTTATCACTATCCATCCATCCATCCATCTATTTTAACATTAAATATTGCATAATTTTAAAACTTGATCACATAAGTTTTTAAAAATCATGTCCTTTAAAATGAAGCCTAAAGAGAAGCTTTAAAATCAGAAAAAAATAATAATAATCTCATCTGAAGTTTCCTCTGAGGCTGCAAAACCTTCAACAGATTAGGAGAATTTTAGCAGCATCGCTTTCATCCAGTTTCCTTTAAAATGAAGCCTAAAGAGAAGCTTTAAAATCAGAAAAAAATAATAATAATCTCATCTGAAGTTTCCTCTGAGGCTGCAAAACCTTCAACAGATTAGGAGAATTTTAGCAGCATCGCTTTCATCCAGTTTCTTCACAGAAACGAAGATGGATGTTTTATAAAAGAGACTAAATGTTAGGACTGTGACAGATGATTACAGCCACATCGTAGCCCTGTGCACAGAGTTAGATGCTGATTTTAACCCTAATCTGTGAGGATTAATCAGATTGTGCGGTGCTGTCCTGAAGGTAAAGAGAGGAGGACATTAAAAAACCAAAATTAGATATTTTATACACTCAGTGTAATGTTTGGCTAAAACAGAATGAATGTAAAATCATTTTACAATGATAATTTACCGGGGAGTATATTTAAAACAGAAGCATCCGTTCATCCCCCTTAGAAACAGAAGTTAAAATGAAAAGTAGTTTCCTACATTTGACAAGTTCGTTGTTGTAGGTCTGAAGAGCCGCTGCCTGTTGAGTCATGGCGCTTTAGGCAAACTTTCCCTTCGTAATCAGCTAAATTAGCCTTTTAAACCAACGGCTAATGTTTCTATAGCTGTGTGAGGATAAACAGCAAACGGAGAAAAGTCAACTGACGCGCTCCGTCTTACCGCCGCAAAGCTTCTTCTTCTCTCGTTTAAAGGCGGTTGCCTTTTACTTCTTCTTATGTTTTTTATTGGCGGGTGGCAACCAACTTAAAATGCATTTACCGCCATCTACCGGACTGGAGTGTGACTAACAATGATGTCACAGGGAAGTTATTAATTCATACCTCAATTGTATGCACGAATCTGTATATTATCTATACATATAAATTAATGTGTGTATATTCACGTGCATACGCACACTTATATTATTCATTTAAATACAATTAAATAATCCAGTATTTAAAAAAAAATCTAATTAACTGATTTCTAGCAGAATTAGATTTACTTCCTAAAAGGTTTATCATTGAAAATCCAAAATTTTTCTCTATTTAGTGTTGACTTTAAATGCTGACTTACTGTGAATACTTATTACATTCTATTAACATATGTTCCACTGTTTCCATCTGATTACAGTGATTACAAGCCCCTGTGTCATGTTTCTCTATTCTGAAAAGAGAACTATTAAGCCCTGTATGACCAATTGTAAGTCGAGATATAAGTGCCTCTATTTTCCGCCTTCCTTTTGTACAACTATTACCCCCCACAGTCTTTTGAATTTTATAAAGATCTCTACTAGTGTCATGATTATCCCAATGTTCCAGCCAAACCTTACAGATTTTATTCCGAATTATAGATTTATCCTCACTTTTGCTTAGTGTCACTAAATAACTTGTTTGTTCACATACTGTTTAAAAAAAATTGCCATTTAGCTTTATTAAAGCAACATCTTGTTATTTTGAGTTCATCTTGTCTTAAAAAATTATCTTTAATGATTGTGCTAACAGGATAATGATCCCTTCCTATTGTGGACTCTCTATACTATACATCCACCATATGCTGCACTATGTTCTCCCCCACAGTTAATTTAAATTCAATTAAGTTTATTTATATGGTGCCAATTCACAACACGTCATTTCAAGGCACTTTACAGTTCAACCAGATCATACAGTCAAATTGACTCAAAGTTTTCTATCTAAGAAAACCAGTTGATTGCATCGAGTCATTGACTCAAAGGCTATCCCTCACGCTAAGCATGCTTGTAGTGACAGTGGAGAGGGAAAACTCCCTTTTAACATGAAGAAACCTCCAGCAGAACCAGGCTCAGTGTGAGCGGCCATCTGCTGAGGCCGACTGGGGTTCAAGGAGCTGTAAAAGGTGGCCCCTTCCAGGAAGATGTTGCAACAATTAACTTTGCCATCTTTATCACAATTTCCATACTCATGTCCACCTCCACACCTTGAACACCTAATTTTCCCTTTGCACTCCTTAGCTACATGACCCATTCTTTGACAAACAGAACATCTTATTGGGTTGGGACTGTACTCTCTCACCCTGAAGTTTATATAGCTAATCTGCAAAGATTCTGGAATCACATTCTCAAACTGCAATATAATTGCGATGCTGTCTTTAACAACTCCATCTCTTTTGATTTTATTCCTTGTTACTTCACTTATTTTTTCCTCCTTTTATTTCTTGTTTGATTTCATCAACAGTCATGTCAAGTGGAACACCTGAAATGACTTCTCTTAATCTTGCAGCTGCGCTAGGGATGTATGTGTTGACTCTTTCACCTACAAAAGTTGTCATTTTGAGAATCTGTTCTTGGTGTTTTTTGCTAATGGCAGAAATTAATACCTTATGGTTGTTTATTATCCTGGCAGACTTGATTCTTCCAATTTCCTTCTCAATTGCTTTAGTTACTGTTATCGGATGTAAGTATCCTTCCTCTTGTTTAAACTTGACTGTAACTTTCCACTCCTCTTCCCCATTTGCTTGCTCTCCCTGCTCTTGTATTCTCGGACTTTTGTTTGTCTTTGTCTTTTTACTTCTTTCCTCTCTAACCTCACTCCCATCTGACCAAATTCTATCTCTTTCATCTCTTCACCTAATTTCACGCTTTCTTCTTGAAGACTTAGACATCCTCCACTCCATTTCCTCTCCACTATTTCCACCTGATGTGGAAGCCATAAAGCTACATTCAATGTACAGTTCATGCAAACCGCCAAAAAGTTTTCAACTCCTACCAACTTCGTACTCCGCTCGCAAACCTCACGTGGCCCAAGGTGGTTGCCTAGCAACTGTTTGGTGTCTAATATATCAGGTTGGATACCACTGATCTCTATTTATTCACTGAATTTCTGATAGACTGAAAAAACTGAAGTCACCTACCGCCATCTTGGTACTCCCCATTTTCATGGATTTGCACCATAAAAATGCATGTTACGCAGAGGTATCAAGTAACGAAGTACAAATACTTTGTTACTGTACTTAAGTACACTTTTTCGGTATCTATACTTTACTCAATTACTTATTGTTCTTCCTACTTCTTATGTCTACTCATTACCTTTTCACAGAAGTATCTGTACTTTCTATTCCTTACATTTTTAAAACAAACGTTACTTGTTACTCTTTGCTTCGGTTTAATGTTTATAAATATTTATTTCACGTCATGTGCGCCATCCAGTGAAGATTTTGGCGCCATCAACATCTAGTGAAAACTAGTGTAATTGGATGAGTCATGTAACGCAAACACTCATTGTTTAGCTATTCGTCAAATTTTTGCTAACGCCAAAGGAAATCATCAGAAGCAAGCAGGTGTTCTTCAAATTGCAAACGTGAATTGTCTATGCCATGCTACAATGTCGGATTCAGAAAAAGATGTTGAAATGTCTGAAAGGTCGGACACAGGTGAGAGCGTATCAGGAGATGGAGACCAACAAGACCTCCCTCATCCTTGGCCCTATCTTAAAGAATTTTTTAGAAATTGTCAAAAAATAAAAAAGAGCTTTCAATTCATATAGTGGCATCTGGCTGTTTTTTTTTAAAGGTTACTTTATACTTTTATACTTTGAATAATTTTTGGAGCACATACTTTTCACTTTTACTTGAGTAAAGAGGTCAAGTTGATACTTCGACTTTTACCTTAGTGTTTTTAAACTGCAGTATCTATACTATCAAATGCGTGTACTTTTGACACGACTGACCCTTCTCAGAATCTGTAGGAAAGCACGTACACTGAGTTTTGGCTCCTTAACTGTGACAGCAAGTTGAAGCTATTGAGAACTTGACAGGTTGTGAGATGAAACCCTTGGTTCAGAGGGTTCAGTATTCATAACACACAGGAATAATTCTACAGGTGTACAAACAGATGGGATTAGCAGGAATCTATAATTGGCAAACTGAGACTTGATTGATGCCGTGGAATCAGAAGCAGAAGACGGGATCTGAAGGTCAGACTTGAATCAACTGTTAAGGCACAGAAACATGGTCAAACACTGGGAGAGAAGATTCAGACTGACAAATACAAAGGAAAGGCAGGAGGTAGTAATCTGGAAATAGAGGCAAGGTTGAGGTCCACAGATCAAAGATCAAAAGCCTGTAGAATATCTGAATAGGAAAAAGGGAAATCTGGAAGGCAAAAACTTGATCAAGATCGGACAGGGAAAGAACGCTGGATATTTTCTTACACAATGGCATTCGATAATCTGGCTTAGCTTGTCTTTCAGAATTCAGTATGAATTCAGTGAAACCTGGAATACAGCTGTTAACAGTGATTCAGTCAACTGCACCACAGAGGAGCAGACAGACAGGCCAGAATCTTGACAATATAATTGTTTCAATATTTTTATTCGGTCCAATTTTTATGTTCAATGCTCACTTTTTTTTGTAAAATACATCATACAAATGAAGAAACGGGGCTTGGGTTAGTTTTAAAAGGTTAAATAAAAACAACTGTCCTTGGATCATAACAGATAATAGACTTATCAGCAAGACATCTAAATAACTGATAAAGTTTGATTTGTTTTACCTGCTCAAGAATAACATGAGAAATCAATTTTTAATAAAACAAACCTATTTTTGATAACAGAATTGTTAATCATATATCCAAAACTTAAAAACAGTTTGGTATACATCCTTATTAAAATAATGCCATCTGTTTTACTAAATGATTTGAGTTTAAATAATATATAAATATATTGGAACAGGATTTGGGCCAATTTCTTGTTGAAACAGTTCCTATGAATGAACAAAGGGCTTCTTCCGAGTCAAGGTCACTGGAAGTGATCTTATTTATGAAATTTAATGCAACCCCCCAAAAAAACATAGATTAAAAAAAATGATACCATTGACTATAGTATGGAGGACAAATATGGAGGATAAAAAGTGCCAAAATTAAATAAATAAATACAGCATTAAATAAATAATTAAATGTGTCAATAATTAATTTAAACTCACCCAACAAAGTTAGGGGGCGGTTAAACGCGAATCAAGTCTCTGTAATCGATTTGCTTCGCCTTAATGTGCAGGGTGACCTGCCAGGTGTTAGATAACCGCCCCCTAACTTTGATGGGTGAGTTTGACAGATGCTTTTAATAGTTTCGATGCACTGCGACACAGGACCATGAAATAATTAAATGCACACTGAAATAATTATATATATATTTTTTTAATAAAATGAAGACGTATTTTATTAAATTAATAACACATTTATATATTTAATTCCTTATTTATTTAATGAATTACACATTTAATTAATTGTTTATCTCTGTATTTATTTATTTAATTGTGGCACTTTATATTAGTGACATGGTTTTAATTAATGAATGACACATTTATTTATTTAATTCCACATTTAATTAATTATTGACACATTTAATTATTTATTTAATGCTGTATTTATTTATTTAATTTTGGCACATTTTATCCTCCATAAAATACATGCAATATCAGTTGCATTAAAGAAAATGCCTATTCAAGCAATGTTGCTTATTTATATTCAAAGAATCTGGCAACCCTAGCTGTGCCAATTTTTTTCTTTTGTGTGAAGATTTTATTTGTTAGTAATACGTTTTTTGTAACTATAAATATTTTTCGACAAACACATAAACTGATTGGGTTGGCAGGTCAAATCTGAATCATGATTTAACTGCAGATGAGGCCTCCCAAAATAAGTCCAGGAGCCACAATTAGCCCCCAAATTGCACTTTGGATATCCTTGAA